TAATTGACCATTTAAAAAGGACTTTTAAGTCAACATTTTATTAACAACTGGAATTTCTAATGCATTTAAAGTTGTAGAAGGGTCAATCAACTGAAATGGATGAAAACTGAAGACAGGAACATGTTTGAATAAGAGTGAAAACAAAATCCAATCCAAAATGTTTGGAAGAGACCTCAGCCCCGCCATGGGAAAGCAAAAGCATCATTCGCAAAGCAAAAAACGTGCAAACGCTCTATCTAAAGAATTACAGTAAGTTTTCTTTTTTCGCATGATGGTCTAATACCACCATTCTATACTCCTCATTTCTCACCTTCCTGCAGCTCCTGCTTCCAAAAGACCAATCTCAATAAAAATTACTAACATTTTGTTCAGAGCTCATCATGAGACTCGTCATCTTCGGCCGATTCGCCACCAGGAGCACCACCGGATCTCTGGTAGACTGCAGTGATGATGGGGTTGCAGACGGCCTCGACCTCCTTCAGCTTCTCTTCATAGTCTTCCTTCTCGGCACTCTGGTTGTCGTCGAGCCACTCGAGTGCATCCTTAACAGCTGTCTCGATCTTCTCCTTCTCATCAGACTCAAGCTTCTCAGCAAGCTTGTCCTTGTCATTGATCTGGTTCTTCATGTTGTAGACATACGTTTCCAAGCTGTTGCGGGCGTCAATCCTCTCCTTCACCTTCTTGTCCTCCTCTGCAAACTCCTCAGCTTCACGAACCATCCGGTCGATCTCCTCCTGACTCAATCGACCCTTGTCGTTGGTAATGGTGATCTTCTCGGATTTACCAGTTCCCTTGTCTTCAGCCTTCACGTTTAGGATACCATTGGCATCAACCTCAAAGGTGACCTCAATTTGTGGGGTACCCCTGTTCAAGTTTAAAACACAAACATTGTTTAGTTTAAACACATCTACTGATGATGATACAGAATGAAGGGTCAGGGACAAAGAGGTGAATACCTTGGTGCTGGAGGAATGCCAGTTAGATCGAATTTGCCAAGGTTCCTGCAGTCTTTAGTGAGACTCCTCTCACCTTCGAAGACCTGAATGGAGACGGTGGTTTGCTGATCTTGGTAAGTGGTGAAAACCTGAGATTTCTTTGTTGGGATGACAGTGTTTCTGGGGATCAACTTGGTCATAACTCCACCAACAGTCTCGATTCCGAGGGTAAGGGGCGCAACGTCGAGAAGAAGGATATCTGTATCGAAACCAAAAAGATTCGTGAGAAATTGTTCAAGTCATTCATTATAAGCAAGAATTTGAGACTTTTACCCTTGGTTTCTTCACCACCCTCTCCACTCAAGATGCTTCCTTGAACAGCAGCACCATAAGCAACGGCCTCATCAGGGTTGACACCCTTGTTGGGTTCCTTGCCGTCGAAGTAATCTTTGAGGAGCTGTTGAACTTTGGGAATCCTGGTGCTACCACCAACAAGGACAATCTCGTCGATTTGGTTCTTCTGCAAACCTGCATCTTCCATGGCTTTCTTCACTGGTCCCATGGTCTTTCTGAACAAGTCATTGTTCAACTCCTCGAACCGAGCTCTGGTCAATGGCTCGGAGAAGTCAGTACCATCAAAGAGGGATTCAATCTCAACACGGACCTGGTGCTGGCTACTCAATGCCCTCTTGGCACGCTCAGCTTCCCTTCTAAGCTTTCCAAGAGCTCTGTTGTCCTTGCTGATGTCCTTTCCGTGCTTCTTCTTAATCAATTTGATGAAGTATTCCATGATTCTCTGGTCAAAGTCCTCACCTGAGAGAAAGTGCGTACACAATCAATTCAAGGCAAGTGATAATGTGACATAAGAAGCAATCGATTTCCATCCCATAAAATTCTTACCTCCCAAGTGAGTGTCACCGTTTGTGGCAAGAACCTCAAAAACACCATTGTCGATGGTCAAGATACTGACATCGAAAGTACCACCACCAAGATCAAACACAAGAATGTTCTTCTCGCCACCTTTCTTGTCCAAACCATACGCAATGGCAGCAGCAGTAGGCTCATTGATGATCCTAGCAACGTTGAGACCAGCGATAATACCGGCATCCTTGGTTGCTTGCCTTTGGGCATCATTGAAGTAAGCTACACAGAAAATAACCAAACTCAGTGATCAAGAAACTAATTAAGATGAAGAATGATAGGCATCATATTTCTTTACTCACCTGGAACAGTGACAACGGCGTCCTTGATTTTCTTGCCAAGGAATGCTTCGGCTGTTTCCTTCATCTTAGTGAGAATCATGGCACTGACCTCCTCAGGGCTGAAAACCTTGGTCTCACCATCCTTGATTTTCACTTGAATGTAAGGCTTTCCATCCTTGTTCACAATCTTATAAGGAACAAGCTTCATGTCTTTCTGAACCTCTTTATCATCAAACCTGGGGGAAAAAACCAAATTTTTTGTAAGAAATCTAGTGTAAATTAGATTCTCAATCAGTGAAAGTTATCTCGGGAGATGGATGCATACTTTCTACCAATAAGTCTCTTGACATCAAAAACTGTCCTTTCAGGGTTGACAGCTGCTTGATTCTTGGCAGCCTCACCGATCAATCTCTCAGTATCAGTGAAAGCTACCCAAGAAGGGGTGATACGGTTTCCTTGATCATTCGCTATAATTTCTACGTGTCCATTCTTGTACACTCCAACACAAGAGTAAGTTGTTCCCAAATCTATCCCAATGACAGTCCCCAATTTTGTTGCTTCCTCCTTCGCGATTGAAATTGCGAATAGGCCTCCTGCAATGCAGCTTCTGCCAGGTCAATACCAATAGACCCATGCATTCGTCCAAACAGATAAAACCAAATGCTTCTATTTTCATTCATTAAAAAAAAATATAATCAAAAGTCCAATGAATATCACCCGTACACTACACTCTAAGATTAAAAGAAAATGTTCGTAGGAATTCTAAAACATACAATTTAACGAAATCGTAACGGATGAAGCTATTAACAGGAGCTAATGCGAGACATTACTAAAAATGAATGATGCTTGCATATAATGAAACATCCGTACCAACATTAACTCGAATTGAACAAAATTTTCAGATACAGAACATCAACAATGACTAATCAACAACCTAAATTAAAAGAGATAGAAATGTATAAATTTTAATTCATAAAGATACAAAGCAAAAACTTTCCAACACGTTTTTAACACACAGAAGAATCCAAAGAATGTCACGTAGATCGCCTTGAATCTCAAAGCAATCACCAAAAAACAGTACGAAGATCAATGGAGCCACACTGCCCTATCTAAAATGGCCAAAATCAACGAATGCGAAGAAAACACTCCTCGATCTATGGCTACTACGAAACTAACAAACAGCCATTACAGTAAAACAAGAACAATCATGCTCAAGGTTCCCAGGCTACAATCTCCTAAAACAAAGCCACCAGAAAACCAAAAATTACATCACTCAGATCTAAACAACTTCCCTAAGCCAAATCAAACAAGAACAAGCCAGATCTAAACTATTGGAAGGGGAAAACATTACCGAAGAAAAGAATTGCCAACACGATCAGAGACCCTCGAGCTCTCCAGGAGCCAGCCATGGCGATAATCTCGTCGAAAAACAACCTCTGAAAGTCGCAAGTATTAAGAAGAAAAAGAAGGCTTTTGGGTTAGTTGTTGAGTTCAGAATTACTGGGAAGACTGAAAGCGCGAGGTATGGTTTTATAGGGTGAGATCAATGAAATTTTGCATTCTGCGTAGATGCATGTCATTTAAGATGACGTGGACCAATAAAATTCCTTGTGACGTGGCTTCAGCCAATAATATTGCGTCTAGTGTTGGGACGATCCTCGCCGTCGATTGGTTTCTTTTACGCGTGGCGAGATGTCATTGGCGCTGATACGTACATGATGACCCGTTCTCCGTCAATCTCTCTCTTTTTTATTTTTATTTTTTCCTTTTATTTTAATTTCCAATATTTGTGAAGAGGCTTCTACATACTTCCTGAAATTAAATTGTCATTGTTAAAATATAAATAAAAATTTGCAACGACAAATAATACTTTTAGAGAATTATATATAATAAATAATATATATATATATATATATATATATATATATATATGATATATGTCTGATGTAGACGTTCAAATTTTATTTGAATTATGATATTGATATATCAACGTCGATAGATTATGGATATCCTGAACATTGTACTTTGAATACATTTTGAACGAGTACTGGCATACTGTATATGAACTTTGAATGAGTATTAATAAACTACGGGATATATTTTGAAACGCTAATAATGTTGTATTATAAATCTATTTTAAATGATTGTTAATAATTTATCGATACACTAATGTTTGAAATTAAATTTTGAACAAGCGTCGTTAATGCTGATAGATACACTCGAAATGTATTTTAACGAGTAATGATATACTATTGACATTTAACTGTTTTACCTTAAATGAATTTTATATGAGCGTTTAAATATTATTGATGCATTAATATTATTGTTAGAGTTGCGTTGAAAACGAGTGAGATGAGAATGAACTATTCACCCAAAAGGGAAAGACGATGGCTTTTAAACTTTTAAACGATTCGAGTTGGAGTCAAAAGTAAAATTGAAAATCCAATCTTCATTCACATCCAATATAAATTCATTAAATTACTCAAAAATAATAATAATATATTTTATCTTTAAAGAAAAATTCGATTAATATATAGACTAGAAATGTTCATTCATCTTTCATCCTTCGTAACTTAGTATAACTCTAAAAGTTAAAAAAATTTAAGATAAAAGTTTAAAATTATTTTTTAAAATAAAAAAAAAAGTTTAAAAAATAATTTTGAGATTTTAAAATTTTTTAGGAGTGCTCTTTGTTATTTTGAATTTTGCTTGAAAGTTTGTATTTTTAAAATAAAATATTAATATTTTCTATCATATTTTTAAAATTTTAAGTTAATATTGGATATTTTTATTAATTTAGTATATTTTAAAATTCACTCTCTCGTTGTATTAATAATTTTTTTATTTTTCGAAGATCATTTCTGGCTGCACCAGTTTGGTATCAGAGCAACCGTATGAGCCAAAGTTTGCTGTCGACGAAGGAAGCTTGAAAACTCTTGTTAACTCTGATTACATGAGGAGGGAGTTTCGTGGGTCGTTTGCCAATAGCATATAACTGTTCATAAGGAACCCTCTAGAGAAGAAATCTTCACGATCAATCAACCATAAACTTCATTGTGACAGAGGTATGGAATAGAGAAGATGAAAAATTGCTCATATTTAATGAGAAATCGTTCCTATCTAATTGTGGGTATTTGATGAATCTTAACTTTTAAGCTCAAAATTACAATGTTCATTCGATTAATACTGAAGTCTTGCAATTTTCCCATTATATATGCTTTGATTTCAGATTCGAGAGCCGTAATGAGTGTTCGTTGGCACTGGATTTCTTCAACTACTCCATATTTATGTTATAATGTTTGTGTTGAACTGGGATTCTGAATTTCATATAGGGGTTTCATGTTTGGCGATTTATCTTGCGAGGATGCGCACCAGGTGTTCGATAAAATGCCTCAGTTAGCAGCTTGGTATCTTGGTTCTTCATGTGCTGTTTTGACTGTTTTTCTTCCAGCATTGACATGTTTATGGAGTCATTGAACCCAGTTTTACTTCAGGGATTTTAGTTTTGTTACGCGAGATTTCATCATTCATGTTGGTTGGAAAGAACTGAAGTGATTGAGGTGAACGGAAAATTTCAATTGTTTAGTCTGCTCGCAGAAATTTCTCCCGATGGGAAAGTATTTGGTATGAAGCTCGACCAGGGAATATCGAGCAAGAAGTTACAACAAGCTTTAGTCACTTATATTCAAGTTATGACGAGCTCGTCAAAGGAAATTCTAGAAGATGTTGGAGACCTTTCTTACATGTTGTGCAAAGTTGAGCTTCAAGATAGAGATAAATTCTCAACTTGGCACAACACGTAAAGATGGTCTCCAATGTCTTCTAGAATTTCCTTTGACGAGTTCACCATAGCTTGAATATAAGTGACTAAAGTTTGTTATAACTTCTTAGCTCTCGTCCTTGTAATTGGACCTTAAGGTATGAAAATTCCTTGGTCGTGTTCATATCACTGTTCATTTATAGTTTTGATGCTATTCTCTCAATGTTCTTTACAGGTATGCAAAAATGCAATTTGGGGGTATTCGAAGATTTTGCTGGATCAACATGAGGAGCTTTTCAGTTTCGCGAAGTGTAAATGCTTGCAGAGTCGATACATCCTTTGTTTCAGAGATTGGTAAGCATTCAATCTGATTATGTTATAGTTTATTTTTTCAGTGTTCATATTGGGAAATGTTTGATTTATTTCTTTATGATGTTAAGATCCGTCTGGAAACCTTCTCTGTTCCGCAATTGATCTTTACTTTCTTGTTGAATCAATCATTTCAATTGTAATTTTTCTTCTAACATGTGGAAGATTGTGATTTGTTCTTGACTGTTTCTGGACCTTTATTACTCATGGCAGGAGAATGTGTTCAGAGTTCTAAAAACTATTCAGCTCTCGCCTTTACTGATGATGAAATTGGCAAGGGAACGGAGAAAAGGAAACTGGCCATGAACCTGGCCTCGCTTGTCGAAGAATCTCTTGATGTTGATATGAAAACATCTAAGACTCGAATGGAACCCGAGAGATCCCTTGAAAAGGGAACGGAGAAAAGGAAACTGGCCATGAACCTGGCCTCGCTTGTCGAAGAATCTATTGATGTTGATATGAAAACATCTAAGACTCGAATGGAACTCGAGAGATCCCTTGGAAAGGGAATGGAGAAAAGTAAACTGGCCATGAACTTGGCCTCGCTTGTCGAAGAATCTCTCGATGTTGATACGAAAACATCGAAGACTCGAATGGAACTCAAGAGATCCCTTGAAATTCAGATTAAGAAGAGGGTGAAGGCACAATATGTGAACGGGAAGTTCTTGGACTTGATGGAGAAAGTGGTTGCCTGCCCGAAAACTCTTCAAAACGCATACAACTGTGTTAGAATTAACTCAAATGTTGACGTAACGTCGAATGATCATTTAATCTCATTCGAACCTATGGCTGAAGAGCTTCGTAATGGTAATTTTGATATCAATGCCAATACTTTCTCCATATCAAGTTCAAGAAAAGAAGTACTCATTTTACCAAAGCTAAAGTTGAAGGTTCTTCAGGAGGCCATTAGGATTGTTTTGGAGTGTGTTTTTAGGCCACATTTTTCCAAGATATCTCATGGCTGTCGAAGTGGAAGAGGACACTCAACAGCATTGAAGTACATCAAAAAAGAGATAAAAAATCCTGATTGGTGGTTCACAGTCAACTTAAGCAAAATGATGGATGAACTTATGATGGCTAAACTCATTACAGTAATGAAGGACAAGATAGAAGATCCCAATTTATTTGCTGTCATTAGAACTATATTTGATGCTGGAGCACTGAATTTGGAGTTCGGGGATTTCCCGAAAGGTCACGGTCTTCCACAAGAGGGCGTTCTGTCTCCTATATTAATGAACATCTATCTAAACCTCTTTGATCAAGAATTCTTTAGATTATCTATGAAATATGAAGCTATCAATGAATATAGTAATGCAGGTCAAGGTGGGTCACAATCAAAGCTGCGGAGCTGGTTTAGAAGACAATTGAAAGGAAATGATTCCGAATATCCAGGCGACGAGAAAGGTAACATAAGAGTATACTGTTGTCGCTGTATGGACGAAATCTTTTTGGCTATATCAGGTTCTAAAGATGTTGCTCTGAGGTTTAGATCTGAGATTTTAGATTTCTTACAGAATTCTTTGCATTTGGATGTTCATCATCAAGAGGAGATGGTACCGTGTCAGGCGACTCACGGAATTCGTTTTCTTGGTTGTTTGGTTAGAAGAAGTGAGCAGGAAAGTCCTGCTGTAAAAGCTGTTCATAAGATGAAAGAAAAGGTTGAGCTATTTGCTTTTCAAAAGCAGGAGGCTTGGAATGCTTGGACAGTGTGGTTGGGGAAGAAATGGCTCGCTCATGGCTTGAAGAAGGTTAAAGAGTCAGAGATTAAGCATTTAGCTGAACAGAGCCCTTCTTTGAATCAAATTTCGAGTTTTCGCAAAGCCGGGATGGAAACCGATCATTGGTACAAGGCTTTACTAAAAATTTGGATGCAAAATATAAACGCAAGAGCTGCAGAGAGTGAAGAAACAATCTTATCTAAGCATGTAGTGGAACCTTCTCTTCCTCAGGAACTTAGAGACTCCTTTTATGAGTTCCAACGGTGTGTGGAAGAATATGTTTCTTCTGAGACAGCTTCTACTATTGCTCTTTTACCAAATTATGATCCTTCTGTCAAACCGACTTTCGTAACTGAGATTATAGCACCGGTCAATTCCATCGGAAAACGACTACGGCGATATCGGCTACTCACAAATAAAGGGTATCCATGCCCCTCTCCTTTCCTCATCTTACAAGATGACACTCAAATTATTGACTGGTTTTTCGGAGTATCTCGTCGTTGGTTTAGATGGTACACCAATTGTTCTAACTTCAGTGAGTTGATCTTAATTTGTGATCAAGTTAGGCAATCTTGTATCCGCACGCTAGCAGCGAAGCATCGAATGCACGAAAGTGACATAGAAAAGAAGTTTGAGTCAGAACTGAGTAAGATTTACTCCACCCCTGATATAGAACAAGAAGAAGAGAAGAAATCATCAGATACCAATGGTTTAGACAATGATGAGGCATTGATGTATGGAATTTCATACAGTGGTTTGTGTTTGCTATCTCTTGCTAGAATGGTTAGCCAATCTCGTCCTTGTAATTGTTTTGTCATTGGGTGTTTGAGTCCTGCACCAAGTGTTTATACTCTTCATGTCATGGAGAGACAAAAGTTTCCGGGATGGAAGACTGGATTCTCAAGCTCCATCCACCCGAGCTTGAACAGACGACGATTCGGGTTATGCGAGAAACATTTAAAGGACTTGTATCTGGGTCACATTTCATTGCAATCTGTTGACTTTGGTGCATGGAATGTTAGGAACTACTAATCCCGCAATTGTATGATATTGTTCACTTTGAGCATAATCTCTGTGGCTTAGCTTTTAGTTTCTCCAAAAGGTCTCATACCAATGGCTAACGTGGGACTACTCTCAATAATTATCAACAATCCTCCCCTCGAACAAATTACACCACAGAGTCTCCCATGAGGTCTCTTTCTTTGAAGCTCTTGAATAATCTCCCCGTAATCGAGGCTCGACTCTGTCTCTGGAGCTTTCGAACAAAGTAAACCTTTTGTTCGACACTTGAATCACCTTCGAAACTCACAACTTCTTAAGAAAGTGAGTGGTTTTTGTTCTGTGCATGATCTCATTTAGCTTGTGCATGGGATAAATTTGCTGAGAGAAACGCCATGGCTGGAGCTTCATGGTGCCAGGTTTGAACAACATTCAATTGAATACGTGCTGTTTATATTGAAATCATGTTGGAAACCTTCTCAATTGCTCGAATGAAGAATATTAATTATGTTTGAGCTAACCTCTACTCTGTTGGTCGAAATGATTATTCGAAGACGAAGTGATGGCTAAATCATATTAAAATCATATGGCTAAATCTTGTGTTGTCATACTGGTTGAACATAGCTCAATAGATACATCTAAAGTCAATTTTGATAGTATGAAAATTATGTTTACTTTTATTCAATCAGGTTTATATATAAAATTGAAAATTTATATAACTTTTTTTTAACTCAATAATCGGAAGAGTAGGAAATCCAACCATTAACTTATGAAACTAATTGGTGTCTTACTCAATTTTCGTCTCCGTCTCCGTGATTTATTATTATTATTTTTGTAGAGGTAAGGGTGAAGATGATCCGTGTAAAGCTTGTGGGAATCGGGTTTTTACGATCTTTCTATATATTTTTGAAAAAAATATTTAATGGATAATTTTCAATTTAAGTATAATTTGTATTAAAAATGTAAAATATTCTACTAAATCCAATAATAGTTTATAAACTTATAATATAATGTTCTATGAATAATGAATTAAGATTACAGAATTTAAATATATACGCCTAAGCAAAAATCAAAATTCCGTTGTAGTCTAGTTGGTTAGGATACTCGGCTCTCACCCGAGAGACCCGGGTTCAAGTCCCGGCAACGGAAATTCTTTTTCATATTATTATGCTTTTCAAATGATTATGTTGGGCCACATAAAGCCCAAATTTAAAGCCCATTGGACCTACGATGACATTCTTAATTTTTATTTTTTAATCGATTATGTTGGGCCACATAAAGCCCAAAATTAAAGCCCATTGGACCTATCATAACATTTTTAATTTTTATTTCTTAATCGATTATATTGGGCCACGTAAAGCCCAAATTTAAAGCCCATTGGACCTATGATAACATTCTTAATTTTTATTTTTTATATCAGGAATTTTAAAGATTTCAATGAAATGATTTGATTGTAGTAATTTTCTTATAATTATTTTAATAATTGGTCTTTCCCATTTCAAATTAGTCTAAAACATGCATTTTCCCTCTGTTAAAACACATATATTTTGTATTATAACATACCCCATACAATTTCGACACGTAAATTATCTTTAAATTTAAAAAATAGTTAATTATTTTTTTAGTTCAACATGCAATCGTGCCATGATTTAAACTTTTAACATCTCTTTCCCCATTTGTTCATCACCATGTTTGGAAAGCTAGCATTTGATGCTTCTTTCGTCCTTCCAAAAATGATCTTGCTTGCTCGGTTTTTTTTCTTCTTAAAATTATGCGTTTTTGATATATTGGTAGTTGGTAACGTTTCTGAGGAAGTATTAATAACGAAATAATTGAAAGAATGATTTTTTTTAAAAAAATCGAAGCCTCAACCCTAGGTGGGATGAACAATTCAGTTATGGAACAGATAAGATAAAAAGCTTTAGTTTAATAAGAATATATTACATGAATCTGCTAATATTAATTGAAATTTTAGTTTAACAGATCGTATATAACTTTGGTCCTCAGTAACGTTAATGAATCTGTCAATATTAATTGAACTAATTCAACTCATTAAAACACATATCTTCAATCAAAACATTAAAGGTTTGAATATTCGAGACCCATATCGTTGACCTAAAAAACTAAACTTTTACACTGTTTGTGAGAGTAAATGTAAAGGTCTTGAGAGTTTAGAGGTAGAAATGTTATCGAGACATAGTGAATAGAGGACGTGGGTGGCTTTTTACGTTTATGTCCTCATCCTCCAATCCTTCTTTCTCACGAAATTCTCCAACTACCGAGATCTAATTTTCATGGGAAAAAGTAACATCGCTGCTAAAGATGATAAATTAAAAATAAAGTTGTCTTCAACCGAGTTTTAGTTTATTCTTAATGGGTTTGTAATTTTTTCGTATCATACTGGACCGAACATCGAGTTTGACCTAAAATTGACTAGAAAAAAAAAACCAAATCTTTACCATTACTATCCATGGAAATTTGAACTTTTGGGATGATTTGGTGAAATTGAAAGTACCATAAATTTGCACTTTGGTTATTAAAATAGAAAAAATTACAATTTCGTCTATCTAAATTTGTGTCTATTTGGTCCCTAAACTTTAAAAAATAAATAATATATGATATTAAAAATTATTAAAATTTTAAAATCTAATTTCTTTTGAATTTTAGTTTTAATTCAACTTCTAATGAATATAGTAAAAATCATATTCGAAATTTCGAATTGTTTAGGTCGATGACTCGAACAACTTAAATAGAGTTTACGACCAAACCCAACTTTTTATTTTCGAATTAGGTTGGGTTGGATTATCATATTGTTTTTTCTTAATTATTTTAAAATTTTCTTATTTATCCACGATACATGTTACACTAATAACTAAAATCTCATAAACCTTAAATATCAAACATTCACAAGTCACAACCTATTACTAACATTGGTTACAAACGTCAAATATTCATAACAATCTTAAAAGTAGGGTAGGTTGAACTGTAACTCTAGTTTCGAGTACCCGACCAAAAAAATATTAACCAGCAAATTGACTCGAACATTTTGTTATCCAATCCAAATTGAAGAGAAAAAAAAAAATTCCATCCCAACCCAACTTTTAAGGTTTGGGTTACCTAGTTTGAGTTGGTCGAATTCTCGAGTCATATGAATATTTCTAGTCAATGACACTCATTTAAATAATGAAAAAAAAAAGAAGCTCGATGACTAATAAGACGTGTTTTTTAAAATTAAAAATATATTTAAATTCATTAAATTTGAAGTTTGTCTTAATAAAAATTGAAATTAGATTAAGACAATTTTGTTAATTTGGGAAAATATTGTCAAACCCTTTGGTTGAACAATTGTGAACTTTCATGCATGTGAGTTGTAAGTCAACGATAAGACTGCCCATATGAACTTCAAGATTCCCTCCACCGACACAACAGTCAACGCTTTCTTTTTCCTTTTTCTTTTTTTTTTTAATAAAAAAAAACAATATATATTTTTCTTTCGAATAAAAACAAATATTGTTTTTAATTTAATTCATAATAAGAATTATCATTATCTTAGTTGGATAAATATTTGACCTTTTGTTTTTAAAATTTTAATTTATAATTTTTTTTTTTACCATTATCCACTTTTTTTCAATATTTTAAAAAATTAAGCAAAAACAAAAAGTAATTTTAGCTTTTTTTCTTCTTTCCTAATTTCACCTTTGTAATTTAATTTTTTTAATCCAAAATCTTGAAGAAAAAAATTACATAAAATGCAAATGTAAAAATAATAATAATAATAATATTATTATTATTCAATCAGCAGCAGTTTTCTGGTTTACCATATTTTTGTGGATGGACTCGATTATTTGAATTGTCAATTTTTTCAACATAAATGATTCTTATTAAACAATGAATCCAGATCAATTCAATCATGAACTTTTTCAGGTTGAACTAATTCATTTAATTTTCTTTTAATAAAAATACAACATAAAATATAAAGTTATTTATTTTTAGACATTAATTAAGATTTAAAACTCAATTTTAATATAAGTTCGAAAATTACTCTAAAAAGTTAAAAATTATTTTAAAAAATGGTTGAAAAATAAATAATTATAAAAATAAAGTCAACTCTATAAACAAGTCAAATTATAAATTTTTTATTTATTTAAATTCAATCCAAGCTGTCTTATTTCAATGCGTGAAATAATGCTGACTTCATAAATCTTTAATAATTCAACCTTTAATTAAAGTGGTTTATGCATATAAATGTCATTATTATTGCTAAATATTACTATAGAGTTATTAAAGTATGTGTCATTTCTCAATTTAATTTTTTTATATTTTAGAAATTAAATTTTTTTATTTATACAAAATAAATATTGTTTTTTTTATAATGTACGTCGCCACGTGTCTACATAAAATTAAATTATTTTCACAAATGGAAATAATAATAATAATAATAATGAAAAAAAACTATTTTTAATCATTTATTTAATGGGTTAATACTATATTTACTAAAAGTAATTAAATTACACGTAAAAGGAAATTGGTTCAATGCATTAAAAAAAAAGCATCAAAACGTGTCAATTAATGAACAAATTTAGTCCGTAATATTTTTAATTATTTTTAAATTTTGAATTTAATTTATATTTAGTCTCCATGGATAACGATATATTTTTACCCTCGAATATTTAATATCGATATTTACTTTTTGGTACTTTATTTTTTAAATTAATATCGATGAAAATAGTCACAATTAAATTAGTTCACAAAAAATGTAAAATATCTTGAAATACGAGGATCATATAGAAATTAAATTTAAAACTCGATAATATTTTAAAATTTAAAAATTAAATAGAAATAAAATTAAGGTAAGAATATAATATTTTTGAAATTGAGTAATCTTTCAACTAAAAATGTATTTTTCCATAATAAATAATAATATAATACTAAATAGTCAGAACGCACCGTTTAATGGCTTTCGGGAATTATAAAGCGCCAACTCCATGACCACTTCACTCGCTATTTATGATCTACCGTCTAAATTTTTTAATTCTTTTTTACTTAATAATTAAAAAAAAATTATGAGATTTGAACCTTTTTA